AGTCAGGTGTTGTTATGACGCACATTGGAGGGGCAGCCAATATCGTGTGATTGTTCCCATTTTTTGTTCTCCTTCTTGTTTCCTCTCTCCCTCTTTCTTGTTTTCTTCTTCCCTTGAACAACATGCTATAAAATGCTCATCCCCGATTTATCTTACCTTTCAGCTTGCGCCCATCTCACCTCAGGCGACCAATCAGCTAGGCGGTGGCCTGTTGCTGTCGGTGGGAGAGAGAGTGAGGTCGACCCTCAGCTCATTTCTCTCCTCAATAGAGACAATCTGATTCGCTTGAAGCTATCACGGTAAGTTAGCGGCCTTGGCATGGAGGCTCGCCAAGTGACGGGGTAAACTGGACACCGCAGTCGACCCGGTCTGTGTCTTGCTGTGTGGAGTGGTTTACTGCGGGCTGAGAGTCAGGTTCCATGGCTCCTTCTTAATGTGGCCTTTATGGCGCTCTCTGGCGAGAGTCTACCTAGCGAGGTGTGCTGTTGGTACGCGTGATAAGTTTTGGTCGCGCCAGTCGCCTGCGCCCTCCCTCATCTCTGGTCTTCTTGACTTTTTTTCTTGATATCGGGTCCCGGTGTGGAAGTGGTGTGAGAGTGGGGTAGATTCTCCACAATTTTAATTTAACTATAATTCTGCTCGTGGTGCACATCGTCGAGAGCGACGGTCGAATGCATGCTGCTCACGCAGTCCTGGAAGGATGCAGAGCGGCCAACTGGTGGCGACAGTGCTTTGTGTGTGTCAGGGCTATTGCTGTTGCTGGTCCCACCAGAATGTGTGTACGCGTATGCAGGCATTACTACTGTCTGCATGTGCCGGTTTGAGCATGGTGGCACGCATATGGGCGTCCTCGTTCGCGCCAGCCACCTGCGCCCCCCTCATGTTCTTTACTTTTGTCTTGGCACCGGGTACAGCTGGAGGCGTAGGAGGGAGTAAGGTAGATTCTTTGCTAGTCTTTATTCACTTTAGTCGGGCCCATTCACCGTGTTTGCCTTCAGCTTGCTAAAGCTCGTGGTGGACATAGTCAAAATCGGCAGTCCAATTGTCACAATCGGGCTAAATCCCGAGTTTTTTGGAAAGACAGAAGGCAACTGATTGAAGTACTTATTATGCACAGAACCCTGCATTGCCGTTTCAGACAGCAGTGACTACCGCTGAACCAGGCAGGCAGGCAGGCCTGCGTGAGTGTTTATGTAAGAGAAAGTGGGCAACAGCTACTCTTCTGTGATAGTGGACCAAGTTCAAGTGATGTACGATTGGTGTGTTGCATTGCCCGAGATGTCATGTAAAGTGGCCCCTGCTGCATCGGTCGAGGGATGGCCCTTTGGCAGTCATGACTATTTGGACTCGCATTTTTGCGCGTGGGGAAGTAAGTCAAGGGTTTTCAGGTCAGAGTTGCACATAGATACCTGCGAAGTCGTGTGGTGCTGAAGCCGTAAACATTGAACAAGGAGATCAGACAACATTGTCTTCTACGAGGCGTCCAACAGATCCGGTCGGTATCTACGGTCTATTCATGCAAAGTAATCGGAATATGAATGAGAAGGTTCGCGATCCAGGTATTTGCATGGATGAAGAAAAAGGCGGGTCGAGCACCAGATCAATTGGTTTATTTTTCTGAACTTTCGAACACTTACGGGTGTTCATCTTCAGAGATGAGAAAGCAGCCAAAAAGAGGGTAATTATAGTGGTCATAGGCCAATCAACTGTCAGAAATCGTCAGGTTGTCAAGGGGTTAGAAACAGCAATCGAAAAAGGGTTGGGGAGGAGGGAAATTAGCTGTCAGTGGGGTCGGAGGGGCAATTATATTAGTGTAGGCTAATATGAAGATATGTCCGTAGGTCGGTGAAGGTGAGTGAAGTCTCCTGACGTCCACATGGATTCTTACGCTGATTACGTTTTTTGGTGCCATCTTATATCCAGGCATCTCTGCGTACATACCATGAGTATTAAATAACCCAACTGCACCTGCACCGCTCAACCTCCCGCCCCTCGCTATTG